TTATAATCAGTCATAAATTAATATCAATAATGAATATTCAAAGAGTTATATAAATTTAAAAACTATTTTTAATTATAATTTTTGATCTATTTTAGTTATATTATTATAAATATTGATTTTTAAAGAAATTATAAACTATCATTTTAAGCAAAAAATAAGAACTACAAATTAATATAAGATAATTTATATTAATAATAAATATTCAGAGTATTATATAATATTTATAATAAAATTCAATAAATATAAAAGTGAAAAAGTTATAGTCCAAATTCAAAGCTATAAATCAATATATACTAATTTTAAACTGAACTCCAATTCATATAATAGTTCAATTTGAATACTACACTCCCATACTGAATCATCAAGATGCTCATGTAATTAAAAGCAAGATTGAATGCTATACTATTTCAATATAACGACGATATGGATATTATGGATTAAGTTAATTTAGACAATACTATACCGATACCGATACTGATACTGGTACGTTAAAGATTCAATGCCTAACGCATTTCTTCGTTTATGTTTGTTGAAATCAATATTTCCGTTGGTGGGGGAGGGGTTGTGGTGGCGGTGGTGATGATGGATTGTGTTATGCAAAACTGTCTGTGCTTGTAAAAATACCTTTGTTAAAAAAATGTGAAAAGGGTTAGCGAAATGTTCATATCGCCCTTTTACCTCTGTAGTAAGTAACCATTGAATAGTTTAAAGATTCCAGCCAATTCAGGTATTTGTCGTGAACTACTTATATTATCACATTTTTTGACATAAAGTGAGTATTGATCAAATTGACAATGACATTACAACCAGGGCCACGGGATTGGTTCCAATGGTGTTAAGCAAGCACTTTCAGGTAAAGGTGAATTTTCTTCATTATATTGTTGCCATATTTTATTATCATCATTTAATCTATTGGTCTTTCTTTTTTCAAACTTACGTTAACAAATGGATTCGAATAAATATCAACATACTCGGCTATGACTGGTTTCCAAAAATGGAATCATGTTGCCAGATTTTGACAAGAGTTTTGTCAGCATGATGAAAATCACATAAGGCAAGTTCATAATCACAAATTCCGTTGCTGTTAAGGTGTTTTCCGTGAGTGGAAATAGGCCAAGTAATACCAGCTAACTTGTCTGAAAGCGTAACCATACTACGTTCTACAGGGTTGAATGCTAATTGTTCTGGTGCGAATAGGAATATAATCAAGATCAAAAGTCGAAGTAAGCACACATATTGATAAACATTTTTCAAAAATCTAGGATTTTCGCCTGGTCCACCACCCCCACCAATAAAACACACAAAGGTTTAATCTGCTTGATCGTAGTTGATCATTAGCGTTGGTATCAGTAGGATTTATAACCAAGCATTTTTGTGCTGATCTCATCAGAAAATCATGATCTTCAACAGTAACTGGTTCATTTAAACTTTGAATTGTTTTTTATCACCTTGACTAATAAGTACAACTGGTTGCTTGGTCGCTTTTACACATGCTAAGTAATAGCGTCCATCGATATGTATATTTTCTCAGATCGTGAAACTCCACTAATACAAGATGATGATGAGCTTTGGCTGCAATACTTCAGTGGAAGATAATTATTAATGGTGGGACGGGAAAAGATATTCATTCTTGTATACGCACTTTAATTATTTCTTTACGACTGCCTCTCCAAATCATATTGATTCGTGAATATGATCTAACAATTGTGGATATTCAAATAAAAACACTGGGACGACCTGGTTGATTATATCTTACGACTTCATTTGTTCTTCAAGTCTTTGAATTTTTGGCATCAGATTTTTGTTTATAAAAGCATTTCTGTAGAAGTAAAGTGTGTCGAAGACTGCTTCTTTTTCTTGATAAATGAATTTTTGTGCTGGTGCATTTTAGGGACAGTATTCTTATCTTTGTCTTCGTTATTCTTTTCGGAAAAAGAAATTGATGATTCGATATCTATTATTGATGCAGAAGGTAAAGTAATATTGTTGTTAATATTATGGCTAGGTAATCGTCAATTGTTTTTTCAATTTCCTTAGACTTTTTTCCCTTCGCTTTATTCCATTCAGTTGTGCTCGGAATTTTAGGTGCCGGATTTTTGATGGATATCATTTTTTGATAACATAATCATACTAATTTTTTTTATTATACTTTGGAGTTGAAAGATAACTTTGCATTATAATTATCGAAATAATCTCAAACACAACAGGGCTTATTGGTACGGCCTGTACAAAGAAAAGCTCGATATTAAAATAAAACAAAGGAAAAATATCAATTCAATAAAATCAACGGCTTATTTAGAGTGGAGGAACATCCACTACTTGCAATTGTTCACAAGGTTTGATCACAAAACAAAATAAAATAACAGTGTATTCACAAGTAATATTATTATTACAAGTAAGAACTTAGATCAAAGCATCTCTTCTCAGAGACTTGAAAACACTTATATATATACAGTTTCGAATTACTACGCTAATTCTAAGGTTGGTTAATTGTTTCTCTTGAAATTATTTTAAAAAATAAAAAATAAAAAAGTAAGCAATAATCGTTCGATATTTTCAATTGTCCAGACAATTGTCGTCCCCTAGAGAATCCCTATCGTTACGTACAAATATTGAAGAACGATGGGTCTGTTCATGACATTGGAAAAAAAGGTAATGTTCATTCATAAGCCAAATATTTCTAAATTTGGCTTACAATAAAAATTACGGAATTAAAGGATTTAATGTTACAATGGTAACAATAATTTGAAAAACAGAAATACATGTACATGTATAATTAATAATTTCCTTTTTTTAGCATATAATATACATAACTATCTTTCCCAATCGGGAATAAAATGAATTGCCCAACATTTTTGTTTGTCGCTATGATGCTTTTATTAAAATGCTTATAACAATGCTGTTAGTTCCTAAGAACTCTTCCAATTACCCCAATCTTTTACCTCCAATGCTGATAGTTCCTCCAGATTTTCCGGTCTTTTCAAGCAGCGCCTTTCGTACAATCAATGAATACATGTACAAGTCACATGTGTGACGTTACCCAATTTTATCGCTAAAAAAGCGCGGAATTTTATTATCGAAATTCCTCCGGATGGCGAGAATACAGTATTATATATTTTTAAAGCTTGTTTACATTCTAAAAAATTCTTATGCTATGTTACAAAAATGTCTCATTACAATGAATTGAAGTTCTTTACTTCTTTGATTGTTCTTGTTAAGAATGATAGATACATGTACTATCTACATACATGTAAATGCGTTCACTTCCTTTCCGATTTACCAGTTTTTAATAAAAAATTTATCTAAGCTTTCACAAAGAATAAAATCTCATGATATTGTTCAGTGGGTGTTCAAAAGATTGCCAGCAGCCTGAGAGGCTGTCGATATCAGACTATTGACATCTTTATTTGTAATATTCGTAGTATGATCTCCTACGTTTAAACTCAAAGTACCATTATTTGATTGAAACTTCACTGGTTGACCATCTATATTCAAGCATTCAACATTATTTCCATTGAGAGATCCGATGTTTCCGTTTCCATTATCATTACGGTTGTCTTGCCCATTGGTTGTACGAATACATGAATCATTTTTGTTCTTTTCACCAACGTTTATCGCACCGACGTAATTTCCATTTACGTTACCGGTGTTATTGTTTCCATTATTATTGAAACTGTTGCTTAGATTGGCGTCTTGTACGTTAGGCTTTTGTTGAATGCTCACGCCTGTTTCATTTATATTAATACATTCAATATTATTTCCATTAATGATTCCGGTATTCCCTTTTCCGTTGTTATTGTAGTTACTCGGTCCACCGTTCGTTGATAAGGATGTTCCAGGTCCATTGCATTTATTATGTCCAATGTTTATTTCACCAACGTAATTTCCATTTGCGTTCCCCCGGTTGTTGTTTCCATTGTTATTGAAATTGTTTAAGAATCCGTTCGTGGGATTTGTATCATCACGCTTTCCCAGGTCTATTGGTCGTCCGTACGATAAGCACAAAAACAATAAAATGCCAATGGTTAAAGTAAAGAAGAAACGAACAGGATTTTGTGACATGTTGAAAAAATTTATGCGTTTTATGAGTTTAATTAATAACAAACCAGATGATTCAATGATTTTTAAAGATTCGTGTCCAGCTTTTATACCGAACAAAAGGTGAGTTACACGCACGAAGCTTCATTCTTAAAATCATTTTTAAAATCATTCTCAAAGTCATTCTCAAAGTCTAATAGAAAATAATCGAAAACCGCGGATAATGATTTGATTTTTCTATTTATAGCAATAGCCTTGTATACCTAAATTTCAAATTGTATGTACATGTACGTACATACGTACATGAATGGCTCAATGCTTACTTATTTAGAAAAATATTGGAAATCCTCATTTACAGTATTTTTAGATTGTCATTTCCGTTTAAAAATAGTAATTTGATACTCATTCGAAGTACGTACATGTACATAGTGTTAATAAATTGTGACTTTAAAGGCGTGAATATCCGTTATAGTAAGTGTAAATCCAATCACTGTATTGCGCCGTTTACACATTACGGAGCAGAAATGGTGATTACGTATTGAAGTGTTAGTACGTATGATGTTGCACAGAACTGGGTATCGTACAAAAAATCGTACTCAAAAGTGGCGGTAGTGGGGAGGGGGGTATCGTTGAAACGACGCCATACAAATAAAATTAGGATGTATATAGACCAAAAGGAAATGGTAAAATATTGCACCAATGTATCAGTTTTTGACTTTGTCGCTGTTTTTCAACAAAGTGTATTTTTTGAAGAAAATTGGTTTAAAATTATAAAGCCATCTTGTATAATTCACTTCAATACGTACTTTGATTGCTGTCATGTTAAGTTGATTTAAAATAAAATTTCAACTTGAATTTATTTACATTTGTACGTAACGCTAACCCATACTTCCTAATTAATGTTAAAATTTTAAAACAGAGATAACGTGAACCATAGCGAGTCTTTGTGAGCATCGTCGCTTTTCTGTTGCTTTCCACTATGTCCCGTGATTTAACTACAGTGTTTCAAAACAATTCGTCTTTTAGAGAAATAAATGCTAAAATTGATCACATTGAATCCAAATTTATTATTTTCAAGCAAACTGGAAACACAATAGACTTCACTGAAATTATCTTTTATAATCCTACACCATCATCACTCCTTGACAGCCACATAGGATTTAATCTTGCGCCTCATATTTATCCGGAACTGTATTTCGACTAATTAACTACTGCGTATATATAATCTTTATTAAAAATTTTTAAATAATACAATTAATATATGTCAAGTCAAATTACGTCTGCTTCATATGGTGTGCTGAATGCATGTTTTTCATTTCTAAAAATCTTTGGAGTAATAACATTATTAATAGGATTTTATGAATGATTTATCATAAAGGCTTCAAATTGAGTGGTGGTTGTCTGTTGACGAGTAGATTGAAGAACAAATGTTCTTTGCGTAATGATATAGGAAAATTTCAAGTTTGTGTGTCATAAAATACAGCGCTACCTTATCGTCTAAGATTAGCTATGCAAAGAATCCTTATCGTTCTAAAAAAAATATCAGTGTTGTTGAACATAAACTATTATCTTTTAGTCATGAATAAATTTGAATTTAAATAGAGTCTGACAAGCATTTAACATATTTTTTACTTTTTTTTCTAAATGAAAATTTCCGTGTTAATTCATCACAATATACACATGTAGTACACAATCGTACTCGACACCTCTTTGGGGTTCTATACAACATATTTTCGTTTCATGCTTGATTTAACTTTTCGTATTCGGCGAATCGGTTTCTTTAATTTTTATCTCATATCTGAATGTTCGAACACGACATTCTGTGTGCACAACTTCGGTTCTCTGACAAGGTCAATGCAGGCAGACACTTTTATTAGACAGACTAAAAAATAGTAAATTAATTCTTGTAATTTCATATTATCTTGATTGTGACCGAATTTAAATATATGTTGAAGTTGCAGATGCAAACTTTGGCGGTCAAACTTTAGATTATGCGATAATTTATTGGGAATTATTGTGAGAAAAGGAAGCAATTCCCAATTCTAGTAATTTATCTCTATTATTGCAATAATCTCAATTCGCCGACTTTCTGCAGCTTTCATAAAAAAATTTCGCGTGGAAGTGAAGTTCGTTTAATAAATATCAGCTTACTCGCATAAAGTAATTTAGAATAGCGTTGGCTCGGTTTCCTGGAATCAATATATCGATGTAATGCCTCGTAAACACAAACTTAATACAGATGACGAAATTGAACCAGACGGAGGTATTATAAATTAGATCAAGCACTTAATTAATCAAAAGCGTGATTTTTAATAAGTTTTTAATGCCTTTGACAATGTATAAAATTAGAAGAACTGCAATTCAAGTTCCAGCAGAATAATGGTTGTTATATGTCATCGTTTCAGAATTCACGTCAATTCCAGATTGACGCACGTTGTTTCAAAATTCCAAAATGACGTAGCTGTATTTTTGAACAGAAATTCAAATTATCGTTATTGTAAACGTTAATGAGATTTAGCGTTAGTAATTTCTTTGTGCCAATAATACCTATACGTGTTAAACGAGATGAGCCCGAAAGGGATATCCGGATAGCACAAGCCATCAATTCGGCATTCAAAGCCGACAGGAAAAATCTCTTGTAACCAGTAATACAAAGTGCGCATAATAAATATGTGTTAAGAGCTAGTAGATTAGGGTCACCTTCCCGAGATTTTTAATTAGTGCTCCCTAAGTTAGATTTTTCCTATATTTCCTTTTATTTCGTCCAATTTCGTTGCAGTTATAACAAGTTGGAGGAGAGTAATTATTATTACGATGATAGTTTTGTTCAGTCAGATTTTAATGCCAGATTAATCATTTGTTGAAGATGTAATATTTCTTACTCATATTTTGTTATTAATATTGCTAATTATATTATTATAGCTCTAGAAAGTTTGATACTAGCATAAGAAATTAGTATAACAAAATCCGAATCACATATCTTTTTACTTTATAATATCTTTTTTTAAACTTCACCCTTTTATATCTTTTTCTTATTTTAACTATAACAATTTTAGTAAAAATTGGTATAGGACTTAGATATTCTTTCTTTTAATATTATTTTGATTTTTTTGTTTAAGTTTGTAAACTAATTCATCAATTAGTAAACAGACTTGTAACAATATTTTGTACCAATATTATAATAAATAAAATAAATATAATTCAAATAAAACTAATCAAAATAATAAATAATAAAAGTTATCTAAATTCTATATTAATTTAATAGAAATTGTTATAATTTAGAAAAATGTGAAGATAAAAAACTAAAATTTAAAAATAAAAAGTATTTTATAATAATATAAATAAAAATATAATAAATATATTATTTTAATATAATTGAGAAAGAGATTTTATTAATATTATTATGTAATAAATCTAAAAAGAAATTATTTCTTATTTTATTAAAGAACATTATTCTAATATAAGTTCAATATATATTATGCAAAGCTTTTTTGATTGCTCATCAATAATACAAAAAATTTGAATTACATTATGCTTTTCAATGGAAGTTGTAACACAAATAATCTTATCAGAATTTTCTATCAATATATTAATGATTGATGTAAAGCAGTTAAAATAATTAATAAGTATTTACATAATTATGAATTTATAATTATAGATTTAACAAGAGAAAAAAATGATCTATTATTTATATATAATAACTGGGATCAAGCTTACTAATAAGTAGAGCATAATTTCAAATATTTGAGAAAATTTTCTGCCTTTTGTAGTTTTATCTTCTTTTTCTTAATCTTATATCACAATTTTTTATTGATTTTCATCCACTTCTCATATTCTATAATAATTTCTTGCATAAATTTACCAAAGAGTTTTTCATTATATTCCAGTAATTGCTTAAATAAAATATTAATCTCTTTTTTAACCTGGTAATTAATCTTCTCCTACTTACAAAGCAAGAATATTTATATACCTGATTGCATGTACAAATTGAGATAATATCTTGAATTTGAGATTCTTAGTTAATCATATTTATATTATTGTTACAAGTTTGTTCACTAATTGTAAAATTAGCTTACAAATAAGAACTTTAATTGGAAGAGGATATAAATTGATAAAGAAAATATTAAAAGAAAAGAGGAGTATCTAAGGTCTATGCCAATTTCTACAGAAATTGTGTTTTTACTTGAAAAGGAATAATAATATGAGAGAGTTATGAAAGAGTAAAGATCAAAAAGAAAAGAGAATAAAGAAATAATAAAGAGAGTTTAAAAGAGTAATTTTGTACTTGCATAAAGCTTTTTAGAACTAAGATAATAT